GTTCAACCATTATCAGAAAGCAGGTGACTATCAGAGACAGAGAAATCACTCCAACTTTTCTATTAATTTGGAAACAATTAACAAGGGTTTCCATGCATCTCCTTTACCATCTCTCCCTCGCCCAGAGATTTTCCTTCAGAAAATGACTGTTTGGAGAGATGCAGATGGATCATATTATATTTCAAGATAACATCACAATATGATTTTTCATAGCTTGGATGTGGGTATTTACATAATTGTAGCTGGCAGTAACCCTCAGTGTAATGAAAATTAGCATACAAAGAGGGCAATAATAAGACCATATTTTGTTGATGTAAAATCTAATGCCACCCGTTTTCCTGAACATTAACATTTTCTATTTTAAGCTATAAATTATAGCATCTATTATGATTTTATGGGCTGCATGTCTTCAGAAGGATATGTTAACACATGCTTGGGGCCTGACCTGCAGACTTGGCTGAAGTTTTCCATCTGAGTAAGGATTTGAAGGATCAGGCACTTAGTAGAAAAGATAAAAATATTATTTCTCTATTAGGAATTCATTAAAAGAACAAAATATCCTGCTTTTACAGTTGCAACTATTTGCACTAAATAGAAATATTTGTTAAATCAATATTAGGCTAACTCAGGGATATCCAGCTTTTAATGAGCTAGAGGCCACACACTGTGCAGACCCCCTCAGAATTCGTGACATTTAAGCCCCAACCCCAGGCCATACCACCCAGCTCTGCCCACAGACCCAGAAGCAGGAAGCAGGAGCTGGAGAGAGAGGAGTATGGAGACTCCTGTGGCAGCAGCAGCAGCGAGGAGCAGCACAGAAGAGCAATAGGGCTATGCAAAGTTTCAGTCCCTGATTCAATTCGGTGGAGATTTGGCCCGATTCAGTGGCCAACTCTCCAAATCCAAATCGAATCAGGAGACCCTTTAATCTCTCCGAATCAAATAGAAACCCTCTGAATCGATTCAGAGAGATTCAGAAAGATTCAGCGATTCGGACATAGACACAGCTTTAAATGTTTTTTCTACATACCTCAAGGTACCAGGTGGCTCATGAATGTTGCAATGGTGGGGCAGATGGAGCATCCCATAGGAGTGCGGGGGGCTCCCCAGAGTGCTCAGCAGCAGACCTAAAGTGGACCAGAAGCACTTCTGGTCCACTTCCCAGTTCACCTCCGAGCACGTGGGCCCCCCCCCCATACCCATGGGGGACACTCCATCTGCCCCACCATCGCAGCATTCACGAGCCGCCTGGTACCTCAAGGTATGTAGAAAAAACATTTAAAGCTGTCTATGGCCAAAACACTGACTCTCTAAATCAGCATCGAATTTTCAGATTCGGCCGAATTAAATCTGAACAGTGATCCGAATCAACTAATTGAATCACTGTCCCCGATTTGGGTCAAATCCGAATCTAATACGGTCCATTTTGCACACCACTAGGGAGCAGGGCCTGGATAAGAGCTAAGGCCATGAATTAACTCCTCAGGGGCTGCATACAGCCTCTGACCTGTTGGAAAGCCCTGGTCTTTATCAACTAATACTTGGCCCAAAATTCATGTTTAAAAACAAAACAAAACAAGAAAAAAGCAAAAACCACAAACCACACTAGCTCCAAGCTTTTTTTTTTTTTTTTTTTAAATAAAAACAATCCAAGGAAATGCACTGCTCTGCAAAGATTTCCCTGTAGCATTTGAAACTCGAGTACTAAAGCACTAGGGATGCAGATATGATACTCTTCAAGTGAAAAAAGCTGCACTGATTTTTATTGTACAAGATGAAAGGCGTGAAAAATACAGCATAAATAATGAAAATAAGTCACAAGATTAAAATTTGATCAATTTTAGTAAAACATTAAATCTTTTATAGCAGACGGGCCTGTATTTTCTGATTTGACTCATTTGTACTCAATGCAGAACAAGAAAAAGGGATGTGGAGGTAGGACAAAGAGGACTTTATTCCATGTGCATCTTCTCCAGAACCCTGGGTTGACTGGACTCCTGTTAATGCCCAGTTAACAATGGCCACGTGTACTATTCTACCAATAGGATATAAAGATGGCATATGGAAGCTTTATCCAGCAATGCTTCTAAAATATGGTCCAATGGGCTGCTATGGGAGTGGGGTATCCTCTGGGCTTCCAGAATATGACCGTGATTTTTGCATCTTACTTCACAGACACACTTTTGTATCGTAATACCATTTCTAACAGGTAGGTATAGATAAAAACCTAACTTTAACGACTGGGGGAAGAAATAGGATATCACAAGAAGAATCTACGTAAAATACTATGGGGGAGAGTTTGAAATTCACATTTTTTCAATGTCCTCCATGTAATAGTGTGTCACCTAAATTTTTAACAGCAACAATGAATTGAATTAGGAAGAAAACCTGCTGTTACTTGAAAACCACAAGTGATAAAATTGAATTTTAAAGCATTTGCATAAAGCAGTTTAAATACATTTACAATGACACATTAAAAATGTGAGCAGTAAGCACAGAACGTGCATCATCAGAAACCCTGACAGTCATGATTTCATAGTTAAATGCACTGCAGGAACCTGAATGTCTATTTTTGATGACTTACTTTAATTTGCATCTTCCTTTTCCCTCAGAGAGATAAATTGTTATAATCAGTCAATAAGTGACTACATGTGTACCAACATACAGACGTTATAGTAGTAACAAGAAATAAAGTGCCAAACAAGATCAATAAATACTAATATTTTTGGCATTGTTGCTACTTAAACAAAACATAAAGAACATGTATGACTCATCAAGTTTCCTTCTCTCCCATTCCAAAACTTCAAGCTTCTGTTGTCTAAAATAGTCTAGGAGTGGAGATCAGCTGCTCTCTACTGGCAAATCTAAAATACTACTTTAAAACAACAGTGATAAGCCCTTCCAGTAAGGTCTGGGCATCACTAGTATCTTCTGACAGAGTCAACAAATTTACTTGTATTTTGACTCCGTGACTATTCTGAGACTAACCTTTAAATATTGCAGATATACATGTACATTAAAAATGGATGCAAGTCACATGCTACACTGTGTTTTCCAGCAATAAAACAGATACAGTATCAACAGTAGGTTTTCAAGTTTAAATCAAGAAGCATACAGATGAAAGGGAGAGCCCAACAAGGCTTATTTGATCGACTTTAACTGGTTGTGCCAAGTATCTAGGTTTAACATCCCTTTTTGAATCCCAAGTACAATATTTTCTAAGCCAAGCCATGGATCACCATTTACACATAAATATTTACAACAGTAGTTTCTCTATCATGCATCAGACAAACAGAATCACACAGCTGAAGGAACGGTTCTGTGAAATCCTAGTCAAGGTATACAAAAAATTGTCACCATGCTGTGCAGTTTGGATGTAAGACCACTTATGTATCCAGACCTTTTGTACCCTTGCCTGTTACTGGGTTAAAACCAATTACCAACAGCAGATTCTGACAAGACAACATTTTTCTATCTGCATTTAGTGGACAGTGGACTGAACTTCTTTCTTTCTCTCCATTCCCTAGTGTACCACTAGCTGGAGTCTTCTTTGAAAGCTTACTACATACTTCACCAAGTAAGAAGACACTACCTGTTTTGCATTGCTAGCCACATCAAGAACACTCCACGTTTTCTCTTCATGCTGCACAAATTTCCTGTTTGTTTCTGAGTGCCCCACAAGACTTGGTTTCAATATATAATGTCTTAAGAGATCACAGCACTTCCAACAGTGGAGATTAGCTTGCGGCACTCTCTTTAATTATCCTGAAACACAAACACTATGACTGGTGTTAGGGCATGGCTGGGAGGTATTCCTAGATTCAAAGCTTGCTTATTTATTTATTTAGGTTATTAAAAACAGTGCCTAATTATTACTGGTATAAGGAACAGTGCATACTAATAACACACAGTTAAAAAACACAAATAACCCCAAAATGAACACTTCCAAACCTCCCTCTCAGACAGAAGTACAAAGAGAGTTCAGGCTAGCATCACATCTAAGGTCACCCTGCTCTTCCAGCACAAAGGAATGTTCCACAATAAGTATAAAGCTCACTTGTGCAGACTCCGGTGCACAGATTAAAAAGGGCTAAAATTACAAGGGAAAAAATCCCAGATCAGTTTATAATTGTGTCAATTTTTAATTGTAGAATATTACCACCTGCCTTTTCTCAAGTCCAGTACTACCTACCCAGCATAAGAGAGAAAGGGTGAGCCAGGGGTTGCTTTGGTTCCTTAATGACAAGGAACTGGCCCAAGACTAAAAAGAGCTTCCACATGAATGAAAGACCACCTTCAATCTCACCACCTGCCATTCCAAGAGCAAAAAGCACTTTTTGGATCTGTCCATTCTCTCACACAGCAGTGTGTACATTAATTTTTTTAAATGTCTTTAAACCTATGAAAACCAAACATCATACTACATATAGAATTCTCTCCCTTGGTAAAAAAAAAAAAGAAAGAATAAACCAAGTGTGATGCATGTAGTCACATTGCTTCAGAAACCACCAACCATCATTGTGCAATATTAAAATGAGGAGGGCAGTATAAGAACCAATATGGAAGAGTCATCAAAGTAAATTATTGTCAGTGTAGACATCTATATTATATATTCCCCACCAGGAATGTTCTTTACCTCACAAAATGTAGTACAGTCATACACAAATTGAAGGAACAACTCAATATTGCTGTAACTACAAACTACAATAAATAAATAAATATATAAACAAACAAATAAATAAAACAATTTTTAAGACCTCTGTTCGGCTCCTAACATCCACTTAAGTACATAAAAGTGCCAGGATTTTCAGACATGTTTCAGTGTGCCAGCAATCTGCAGAAATTCTACTAACTGCAGTTACTTGATACTTGTTAAAATCAATTAATCTATTAGATATGGGTATATATGGGCTTAGATGCATAACTTTAGACATCCAAGTTTGAAAATATTGGCCTACAGAAACATTATTTATCATACAGAGGAGATCCCAAGAACATACCAGCAAGAGGAGGTTTATGTGAATGAAGAGTGCAGGGTACACTGACAATTAACTTGTGGTCTGGAATTGGAGGCACTTCTACTTCTGATTTCCTGTTGCATAAATCAGAAACAGAAAATAAATGAAGTTTCTCAGATAAATCCTCCAATACTGAGACACAGATCATGCTTTCATGGGGTTTTATTACAAATGGGTTATAAAATATGAAATGTTTATTCACTGTCAGAATCCACAGTAAACCTCATTGAAGTTAAATAGTTAAATGATGACATTATTTATTTTCCTGAGAAATAAAGGGAAACATGAAATTTCTATAGCTCTGGAGAAAAAACAGATTAAAAAGAGCTAAAATCACAAGGGGAAAAAATCCCAGATCAGTTTATAATTTTGTCAGTTTTCAATTGTAGAATATTACCACCTGTCTTTTCTCAAGTTCAATAGTACCTACACAGGCAGAAGGAAGAAAGGGTGAGACAAGGGTTGCTTTGGTTCCTTAATGACGCTAAAGAATTCCCACTTCCCATGAGTTTTTATGTCAGGTTCATATACCAGATCCAGGATCCATTCAGCTAAGGGACAAAATACGGCTGCATGGAATGAAGAGTCTGGGTCATTATATTTTAATATATAAGAATGGCATATGCAAAGAGACCTAGTAACCCAAAAAGTGTACTTTCAAATACCAGCATCTCATACCTTAATGACAAATCCACATTTCCTTGAACTCTCCCTAATACAAGGACTTCATAGGGCTTCTTGTGGGAAGAATCTAGTGGAAATATAAATTCTCCAGATCTGGTAATCTGATACAAAGGGATTCAAATACATTTTGCATGAGTCTCAGGATAAACCAGGTGAATGTTTCTAATTAGTTATTTATGCTCTCAGATCTTTCTAATTAGTTATTTTTTTCACTAAAAATAAAGATATAAAAATATCACGTCTGCTAAGAAACTACCCATATTAAATAGGAAAAATAAAAAACCTAACTGTAAATGACAGATTAACACCAAAATGTGTAGAAAAGCATCATATCACATTGAGTTCCACTCCCCTTTCCCACCCAAAGAAAAGCAATTAAACAGTTTCTGAACTTACTTTTACCCAGTGCCACTCAGCAAGGGTTTTAACAGACCAGTGAGGATAGAGTTCATCTTTAACAAAACGTAGATGCTTCTGTCTATTGGTCACCCATGTGACCACAAGACAATTTGGAGCAGCTAGTGCTGATATGGGAATTTGCTTGATTTGCCAGGGAGACAAGTAGCTGTATCTACATTGGTATATTCAGATAATAAGTTAGCAAATACAAAGCTAATATTAAATTATACATGTGAACATACACACGTGCACATATAAACACACGCACACTTATCCACCCACACACACTTACCCAGCCACACCCGCTCCCTCCAGTGGAAAGGGCTATATACATTTCATGTCTGAAACTCTGCTTTATTTCCACATATACAGAGAAACTGAGCCAAGAGTGACATCCAGTGGTGAAGCTCTTGGATTTGTAAATTCACTAGTGTACTTTTTTAAAATGTTAGGGAGCATAATCTTTTCCCCATCAACATAAATTAGGCATTTAAGAATTTTTATGTTTAAAGATGATTACTTTTTATACACACAGTTGTTTACAATTCTACTCTTTGTATACTGCAAAAATGTTATTTGATAAAAAGAACAGCTTATATTTTTTGTTACTTCTACTCATGTCAGTACCATGCTATTCTTCACCCTTTAATGCAAAATCTCGCATGTGAATGAAAATGCCAAATGAAACAAACACAAGTGCAAGAAAAACAAGTTTGATGGGCAAGTTAAAGGTTAAAAGAGAGCAATTGCTTCTTACACTATATAAAGTCATTTATTAATTTAAACTAGGATTGTCATTAGAGATTCTCCAGAATTCTTAGTGAGCACCTTAACTATTAAGCTATTGGATGAAAGAGGCACCTCCTCCTCCTGGCTTTATTTTGTGTGGAGTTACCTATGCTCTCAGAACTTTTACTGTATTGGGTCCCAGAGATAAGAAAAGCATTCCCCCATTCCATCTGTGAATCAGGAGGTGGGTTCAGGATAAACTAGAAACCTAATTGCTTAGCACTATTAATTTAGGGTACAACCAGTAATAGGTATTTAGGCCTAAACAATTTTATTGGTGGAAGTGAAGGTACCTAAAAACTGGACACCTGCAGGGTTAGGTGGCAGTAGAGTAGGGAGACTGAGGATCTAAATTTGGGAGGTAGGTGCCTAAAGAGGCAGCTAATCAACTAAGTCATTTAGAGGAGGTAGCTCCAAGATCCTCATGTGAGCATTAAGATGCTCAAACCCCACTTGACAGGATAGTTATGGAAGGATTGAAGAAAGAAAAAGGTAAGGAAAATCCTAACCATCACAGAAGTCCTGGACCAGCTTCCAATTCAAAAGTTTAGCAATACATGCATTATGAAAGAGATTTGCTTCCAAAGAGATATGATAAAAAGGTGTATGTGTGTGTTCTTAAATGGTGGTATCAGGAGATTCCATCAAATTAAATTGAACTTTGTAAAGATCCTTAGCTAAAAGACTACCTTTTTGCCCACAAGACCATTTGCACATTTTTTCATATAAATAGCATACGAAATTGCATGTAGCATCTTAGCATTCCTAGTGTTTGAAACTGACCACCCAGTTAAATGTGTGTCAGGTAACTGATTTGTAACCCCTGGCATCCCAAGAAACATGCTCTACTCCAAGTGATACATCAGTTTCAAAATACCAACTTGTACTATATTCAGAAATAGAAATAATGGTCTTCCACTTTGATAGAGAGATGTTTTCTGCATGGTAAACAGAAGGGGTAAAGAGGACACTGTCTGTATTATTTGATTAAAAATAGAGGAGAGTGCAAATGCCTGTTTAAAAAAAAAACAAAAGAAACACAGCACTGCCAAACACAGCCCTGCCCCTCTTTCCAATGAAGCCCACCACTAACTGATATGAGTCTTTTTCTTTTTTTTTCAAAATAAGGTACAACCTTAACTTTGACCACAGTAGGTCAGACATCTTACTCACAGGCATACTTCACTCAAAATGTCTGTAATGGTTGAAAGTTAATGCTATACATACAGATAAGTGAAATTTTCAGGGTTGGATGTGCTTCTGCAAGTATTGTCTGGCAGTGTAAGCTGAAGGCTGAATTTGCTCCAGGAGAAGAGTCTGTGGCTCTACTTGGGCTTTTGATGCTTGAGTGAGCTATCACAGTTACTTTTTATGTGGCTTTCAAAATAGACATAATAATCTAACCCTTTAACATCAGAAGAGAGGTTTTTTTTTAATAACAGGCTTCCAGATCTATTGTACAAGAAGTATATCAAAATTTACTTTGAAAAGTTGCAAGGTCAAACGCACACAATTCTGTGGTAGCCAATGAAATTCCACCAGCATAAAAGTGATATAATTCAGTGGCAGAAGAGGCCTATAAAACTCTAAAAACTTTACAAACTAAAGTCACCTATACAAGTGACAGACCTCTGCTCCAATGCATGCTAATTAGCATGCAGAGCAGACTTGGTTAATCGAGTCTGCTGGAATGTGTTAATTAGCGTGCTCCAGCAGCCTCCACGTCACATGTATTTAGTGTCCCCATATTTTAAAATGCTGGTGGGGGTGCTTTAACAAAAGCTCAAACAAGACTTAGTTAAAGAGCTCCTGTCGCCATTTTGAAGCGCAGGATGCTGAATACAGATGACACTGTGGGTGAGCCACTCTAAAGCACACCCCCCACCCCAGCATCCCACAGCACATGTATAGATGCCCTAAAGTGTTTAGCAGCAGATCCTATCACAGCTGAAAATTTCACAACTAGTATCACTTTGCTATTTCTACCAAACAGGCAGAAAAAACAACCTTGCAAAAAAATTCTGAAGTTTCTACAATAGGCTCCGATCCTGCAAATATTTACAAACTGATTTCAACTAGCTTATGGTAGTAAAGTCAAGCATAAGTAACTGCAGGATCAGGGGGTCTTAAAGTATACATGACTTCAAACTTGCTAGTTAAAACATATCTCGAATCCTCTCATGGATCAAGGGTGTAGGTTGTAGCTGTGTTGGTCTAAGGACACAGGCATAAAATAAGATACCAGATTCACCGAAGGAACCTTGTCTGCCTCATGGATCAAGTAATTTAAGAACTAGTCCTGAAAGCACTTTGGGAGCTGCTTAACTTGAAGTATGTGAGTAGTGACAGTGAAATAACATGTGACTGTATGTATATAAAGTTAGGCCCTTTCCAAAGTTTTTACTGAATAAACAGTGCAGTCTGTCCCTGTGTGTGTGTTGGACTGAACCACAATACTAAGATATCAATTGCATCGATGTGAAGAAAAGGCTTACAGAATCTGTAGGAATGCTCTGATTAAAAAAAAATAAGAAAACGAAAAATGTTTGCTTGTTTTTAGGTAATATTATATATATATATATATATAGAGAGAGAGAGAGAGAGAGAGATTTAAGATTACCGATTACTTCTTTTAACAGACTTGTTTGCCCACGGTGGATCTATTACAATTGCATCATATTTTTTCTTGTCTAGAAAAAGAAAGAATTGAAACACATTAGTTTTAAGAGAAAGCAAAAGCTAAAATCAATATCCAAAATTTAAACCAATCTCTTACACACACCAAAATTATATCCTATGCAGCTAAAAGGCAAAATTCTCTTACCATTGACATAATAAATTGAAAAATTCAACTGTTTTTTATTACTTCAGATGGCTTGTTGAAAACAATTTTTAGAATGAAATGAAGAAAACCAATTGTCTGATCAGCACTTTTAGACCTTTTTTTTCCTTTTTAAAATGGTTCACTGGGTCCAAAATTAAATACCAAATCAGAATGAGTTAAAATCATGCTCAATAGTCTAATATATCAGTTATGACTGCATTGGCAATTACTTCTCAAGCATGTGCGTGTCTCTTGTAGCTGACATAAGAAGAAAAAAAAACCTTAAAAATTCAGGTAATTTTAGATCTCTTTATGCCAAATTTGCCTTATACTACAAAACTATATTCAGGTAAGACAGCATATGAGAGATACTGTGTATTCAAGAGACACAAACATGAGCTGTTCAGAGTAGAAAGTCACATACAGCAGAACAACGCAACTGATTTCACAAAAGCAGTTTCTATTCAAACAGTGAGTGGTTAACTATAAAAGGTATCCCACATGTGGCCCAAATCTTCTAAATTCTACGCTAATAAAATAAATAGTTAGAGAATGGGAGATTTGAGGTAAAAAAAACCTTGAGATTATATGTTACGATTAACATTCACTATACAGAGGCCACTTAGAAATGCATAACCTACTGCCTGAAGTTCCAGAGCAGCAAAACAGTACTACACATAGAGCAGCAATTTGAAGTTTGATTTAGACTTTCTTGCTCTTTCAGGAAAGTGAAAGCAGTAAGCCATTTTCTTCAACACAGCTACAGCTTGACCTTACATTGTCAGGACAGAACTATGATTGTTAAGCAAGTTTCTAGCACTTGCATGTCTATCCAGTTAAAACATGGGTGTTTCTTCTTAAAAGTTTAAATACAGAATAATAGACAATGGAAAATAAATTTAATTGTCAAACCTTGGGTAACAAATTAAAGCCCAGATAGTTTACAAGTTTGGTGCTAGACAGGACAGAATTAACGCTAGAAAAAATATTCTTCCCTTGTGTTTAAATACCTTATCATACTGATGTTTTAAATGATTCAGGCAGGGTTAAACAATGCACAATTTCATTGTTAGATAGATTATAGAGGAAGTGCAGAAATAAACAGAGTGCACAGCTCATTAAAGAAAAGTCTACTGGGTTTTATATAAAACACTACAGCTGTATTTTTCAAAACAGCATAAGACTTGTCTGTCTTACTCCTGAGGTTGGACACCTAATGCGCCTTCCTAGACTCCTCTGAAAAATCCCAGTAGAGCTGCAGGAAGAACACCTCACTATCAAACATCGAGCTGGATAGAGTTGCAGACACTATGGAGGGTAGGATTAGGATTCAAAATGACCTTGATAAACTGGAAAACTATCTGAAATTAACTGAGTAAAATTCAGTAAGGACATGTGCAAACTGGAATTATTTCGTCTAGAAAAGAAACAACAAAGATTCAATAACAATATTCAAGTATCTGAAGGGCAGTTTACAAAGAGATTTGAGACAGATTTTTTTCTCTGGCTGCAGGGAACAGGACAGGGGATAAATCTTACATTTCAATAAATGAAATTTAGGCTGGATATTAGAAAGAGCTTTCTAACAATGAGGCTCGTAAAGTATTAGAACAGATTACCTAGAGAGACTGTGGCATCATTATCCCTGAGAGTTTTTAAAAGCATGCTAGACAAATATTTGCACGAGATGTTTAAAACAGTGATTCTCATCCAGGGTGCTGCACAGTCTTGGAGTGTCTTGAGATCCTTCCAAGGGTGCTAGGAATGCCAAATAATGTTGGCACTGTTAAATGTGTAAATGAGATTTACAAGATACAATCAGAAATTTAAAATAGGAATCTAGAGTGTTAAAAACATTTTGATCTGTTATGATCCTTCTGAGTTTTCTGTCACAGAAAAATTGCTCTATGATCTTTCCATAGTCAAAAAATGAGTGAAAACTAAGAGACTGCATTTTCTGAGGGATGCATTGAGTCTAACAAGGGGTGCCTTGAGACCAAAAAAGGTTGAGAGCCACTGGTTTAGAAAATCCTGCCTTGAAAAGGGGGTTGGACTAAATGACCTCCTGAGGTCCCTTTCAGACCTACTTTTCTATGGTTCTGCTAGTAACAGCTTCCTACTGTTTTCCCTACTAGCAGTTCTTGGGCCAATATTATGATCTCACATTAAGATTATTATCTGAAAGCTGGCTCAACAAGCAACATATCCCAACAATCAGTAGGCTATGGGCCAATGACCACTAAAAGCATACTTTTAATGAATAAATATACTTACAATCCAGAAGTGGTTGCATGCATGAAATATCAGATAAAAGGAAGCTGCTTTTTGGAGGCACCAGATATTTCTGCCCCATTAAATTTAGTATTTTTGCATAACTTGTCATATTTTCTGTAACACATGACAGCAGATCCTGCTCTGGAATGGTCACTTCAGCTATCATTTGTACAATTTGATGGGCATTTTCATTCACAGAGGGAAACTGCTTTGCCATTTCGCATAATTCAGCCAACCCACAGCCAATATGTTCCATAACAACATTCTTGCTGCAACTTTGTTGTGCAGAAATAGATTGAAGGAAACCACTTTTGAACCCTTCTTGGACTATACTTGTAGAACCTTCCCAAATCAGTCCTCTAATCTGTACAGGAAAAAATAATGTCAAGAAAAAGAAATAATACAGTAATGATTACCACCAACACCAGCAAAAAGGAATGCAAATATAGACCATAATTCAGTATATTTCAGGCAAAAGTAACATCATTGTTGGAAACCACAGCTTTAAATCTAAATCAAGACTTAGACTAATACATTCCTGACACTGGAAGCAGATTACAAATGTAAGATGCTAAAGGGCCAGTAATAGTCTCCCTGGTGGAAGCAAAACATAAGAGAGCCTTTTGTTGGGGGATACAGTATACTACCTAACTAATGTAATGAGAACAGTTCACATTGTTGGTTTCAAGCCTTAAAACAAGTATCAGTAGCTTTTTCCTGCAATTATTTCCTGTATTGGATGTTTAGCTAACCAGAATGTTAAAGGTACTATGTGAAATCAGTTCTAGCTCTCTGAAATGTATGTTACCTTCAGAAATCTAATTTATTTTATACATGCAAGCTAACATAAAACATTCACAACATTCCACCCTTGTTAGGGAACAGAGAGATCAAATTTCTATTAATGTAATCAGCTCAACATACAAGACGTGTATTCATGTATAACTTTTCTTCCAGCTTACCTTTGTATGGTATTCTAAAGCATCCAGTTCACCTTGGTTGAGCCCACTATGCTTTCTTTTACGCGTCTGTAGAATGCACAAATGAAATTAAAAAAAAAAGTCAGATGTGCTAATGTGTCTAAAATATATAATGATAATATACAGAGTCCTTCAAGACTGGAAGAAATTTGCCATGATCTTCCCTTTTTATTTTCAACTAAAGTATTAGAATCAATATTGTCAATATGAACTGCCAGAATAATCATAACACATCTAGGTTCTTGTAGAAGGCATATACTTCCCAATGCTATGAAATGACTTCTATGCTATGCCACAGCTCATGTTAACTCTAAGTTGGGCAATTGCTAGGAGTTACATGTTCAGTTGTAAGGCTGGTGGCAACAAGAAAATGCCATCTATTTTCTCAGGGTTAGTTATTCCTTTAGGTAATAAAATACATACACAAGATGTAAATGGAAGAGAAGCACCTCATATTTCTGTACTAGAACTGACCTAGGACAAATACATTTTTGTAAGGCCATATTAAAAAAAAATCAAATATAGAGATGGAGCAGTAACACAATATTTACACCTGAGATTTTTTTTCAACTCATTAAATGGAGTGCCATAACACTAGCACAGCCCAGAGTGGATCATATTGTCCCCTCATCATAATTTGCAATAATATAGCATTGAAAGACTATGTAGTATGTAATGCTATATATTTATGAAGAATACTACATATCCAGGGAAACACATAGGAGTTCTATATATAATAAAGGTAAGCAAATATTATAAAAATAACAAAGGGCCAGAAAACTGATGGGAAATAAATGGTACTTTTGAAGGTCACCAGATCTGCTCCATAACTGCTTTTTTTTTTTTATAAAATGATTATGTATTTCATATGGTGAGCTGAATTCTTCCCTCATGCACACACCAGTAATAAAATTGCGATGTTTTATTTGCAGAATCTTGAAATCTGATTATGCAGTAACCAGAAAAGGCTTAACTTTCATATTTAAGGCTGACTTCGTAAAACTGTCGGCAAAGACCTGGCACAGTTATCACAAATGTAGGCTGGAGCTATGCGACAGACCTAAGGTAGCAGGGGAGGGTCACCAGGCTGGTTAAACAGGTTGGTGCGACCTAAGAAAGCAGGGAACTACATTTATATTTCAAAGCAGAACTTGTAAGAGGCAAGAGACTAGAATACATGAGAAGAGATAGAGACGCTGAACATGAGAATCATGACGGGTATGCAATACATGAGGGACGTAAAAAGCATGTTATAGTCAAGGCACCCAAGGGGGAGAAAGAGGTACAGTAGACTTGCCTATAAACACGCAGGCAAAGATGAGGCTTCTGGGATTGCCCTCACCAGCTAAGATCTGACCTGCAGTCCCCCAGAAAAACTCCTGAACACCTGGCTAGACTCTGCCTTCAGGACTACCTAAGACTCATGCAGTTTCTGTTGCATCTAAATTGTGTGCTGTTATTTTGTAGCGTCAACCTGTGCAAGGCTTTCTGTTGTCTTTTTGCATTTTAAGTTAGGCTAAGTTGTGTGTGCTGTCACTGCGTCTTATTGGGCTGTCTTAGCTTAGGCAGAGTTTTTCTGTTGTCACATACTTGGAACTGCAAATTGCTGTGCTCAATTAACCACTCTTTTCAGAGAATGAATTATTCTTGTTCAAGCATTATGAATTTAGTGCCACTACCTAAAGTCTAATATGAAGTGTGTTAACAGAGCTAACTATAATTTTAAAAGCAACAGTTGGTATTCTAAATTGAATTTGTTTAATCCAGAAGTCATTCTAGAATGCTCAGTTTAATGTTACAGAATCACTTTTCCGAATAAGATTCCTGAAAACCTGGAGTTTCCAATAGAAACCTTTTTTTGCAGTCACAGCTTCCCTAAAAATGCTCTTCTGATCTGCAACTCTTCATGCCAAGTTTCAGCACACTAAACATTCCATTTTAGCTCAAGAAAATGACTGGATGTGGAGAACAGAAAAAAAAGATGGCCCAGATCCTCATTTCTTATATAGCAGCAGGGTTCCACTGAAACGTGTGAACCTACACTGGCCAAGGATCCGAGCACATAGTTCTTTTATAGCTGTATGATTTCAGGAAGGGAAGAGAAATTGGGAGGAAAGTGCAGAAGCAGCAACAATTCATAACAAAAGAAATTAACAATTTACATGGATTGTTGTCCTTCAGGAACTTTGAAAACTTTAAAAACAAAAGAGCCAAGCTTCAAAAAGTCATTTTCAAGCTTGCTGGCTAGGCATCTACTTATCATTTACTGCCTGATTTTCAGAAACGCCAAAACTCACACTGAAGCAAGCAAGCTGAGCACCCCTCAAAATCAGACTTTGCAGATGGCTGCTAAACCACTGGTTTTCAAATGGGGTTGCGAGTTATTACCAAGAGCCCAGATCTTTCCAAGCTACAGAAGTCCTTACGAATAGCTAGAGAAAGCTTTGGTTTTGCAGACATCTTCACTCTGCTGGAGACTGCTGTATATGTGCTCCTCTGAGTCCAACCATTTGTACTGAAAAAATTTTCAAGAAAGTATCACAGTATACTGCTCAATGCATAGTTAGTTTGTTCATAGCTCATTTAATTCTGTTGGCCATACCTTTCTTAAATTGGCAACAGAATCCGCATCACTGCTCCTGGCTCCTCCTTCCTGCTCCGCTCCATTGGTGCTGTCCTTTAGCTCGGTGTGACCAGCCTCTAGGTTTCTTTGTTGTGGTTTCTTTTGGGGAAATGCAACAATATGTGGTTTAAAGACTTGGAAGAACCCATCCCGAAACACATATTGTGTGTGGGGGATTTCAGCTGCTCTTTCTACAGCAGCTCCAAGCTCAGGAACAGGTACATCAACAGGAGAGGATATACTGGCAAAGCAGGAAGGAACAACAGGATTCACAGAAGAGGTGGAGGTAATGGGAGCCTCATCAGGGTGTTGGGAAGAGTGACAGAGCTGGTAGCCAGCCTTGTTGATAAAAGAAAGATGATCTAGTAGCCATCCAGCAGACAACCGATGCACCACAGACATCACAACTTTCCTCTTTCAGGAAATATCATCATCTTTGAGGAACTGGAGCCAATATTCATACTCTTTTCAGTTTAGACTTTTCCTATAGTAAACAAAAAAGCAGATTCCTTAGAGCTATAACTACTTCTTTAAATAATATCCAGGGCTTATCAGGCAGTTCAAACACAATAAGACACTCTCCTCCTTTGAAAAGCCTGCTACACATGCTAAAATTAACAACTCAAGGGAATTTTTTTTACCTTCCTGTGGTACTCAATGTTAAATTTATTTTCACAGGGGATTTTAAATGGGATGCTTCTCCTATACAATATGGCACTTGGCCTTACTTCAAGATTACTCATTGATTAGGTGAGGAAATACTGTTTTCTTATGGCATTAATGTAAAATAAGAGTTTGTGCCACAACAGCACGAAAGAAAACTGGCTACATGCGACATTCCAGTTTTTTTGGTTACTTTTCAGTATTACTATCACACCTTTTGGTTACAAGTTACAGAGATTCTGTGCATTTCTCCCAACTTTCAGGGAGGGACGTCTCTGCACCCCCGAGAGATGTAACAGCTCATTCTATACCTAATGATGGCACAACCCAGTAACATCAGCATTTGGGTAAGCATCCAGGGCCAGCTATACTAACCTCCAGATTTCTTGCTTTTGTGGCAGCCTGAGAGCTCCTTCCTGAGCTTTTCTAAAGCAGTGTAGAGATAAACTTTATAAGCAGTGGTGCTAACCCAGGGGCGGGCAATTATTTTGGGCAGAGGGCTGCTTACCGAGTTTTGGCAAGCCATCCAGGGCCGCATGACAGGCAGCCAGGGGCAGATAAATATTCATTTTCTAAATGTTGGGGAGGCCCCATGGGCCGCACAGAATAGCCTGGTGGGCTGCATTTTGCCCACCTCTGTGCTAACCCCTTTCCTCCTGCAAGCCAGATGGACCGTGCTGGTGGTGGTACCAATCTGGCATCTGGGGTGGGCCACGCAGAGGCAGCAGGGGGAGCTGACCTGCCCCAAGCCAGCCCAGCAGGGGAAGGGGGCACGGCTTGGGCCCAACCTGGCCCTGCAGTGAAGGTGAAAGGTGTCGTGGCCCAGCCCCAGCCTGCGGGGCTGGGCAGCGAAGCGGCAGCTGGGTTCCTCGCTCCCTGCGTGGCTCCGTGGCTACCCGCCCCGCCGCCAGCCCCTCGCTCCCCTGCGCGGAGGTCACCCGGGCCGCCCGCAGCAGCAAGAACAACAAGATCCCCACACACCGGAGCAGCCCGCCCGCGCTGGGCGCAGCCATCTTGCTGTACGGCCCCAAGGACCGCTCCCCAACGTCACATCCGACGAAGCCCGCCCCAACTCATCGCACCGCACAGCGGCGGGGGCGGTACCCGGCGGTTGGACGCCAGCCCGTCCGTCAAGAAATGACATCCAATGAAACGCCGCGGGGGGCTGGAAGGCGGGAGTTACCGTTGCGCTGCGCTGCCTCGCGCCTGCCCACTCGTGACGTCAGACACAGCGATGGGTGGATTTGAAATTTGTTGAGGCGGCAGCGGCAACGGTCCGCAGGTGAGTGGGGGGTGGGCTGTCGCCTTCTGGGGCCGCGCGTCCCGCCCTGTCCTAGGCCTCTTGAAAAGGGGGGGTGGGGCTGCGGAGGCCCCGGTCCAGCTCCCTGCTCACAGCAGTGTCGATCCTGCTGAGGCTGTGTGTGGCCGGGGCTGCTCCGAGAAGGCCAACAGCGTCCGGCCTGCACTGGTAGAGCGCTGCCAGCAGGGTCAGGGAAGTGACTCTTCTTCTCTACTCAGCCCTGGTGAGACCACATCTGAAGCACTGCCCAGTTTCCCCCCCCCCCCCTATAGAAAGGATGTGGACGAATTGGGAGAGAGACCAGCAGAGAGCAACAAAAAGGGTTCTGGGCCCTGGAGGGCATGACTTGTGAGGAGAGCCTGAGGGAACTGGGCTCACTTAGTCTAGAATAGAGAAAACTGAGAATGGATTTAATAGCAGCCTTCAACTACCCAAAGGGGGCTTGAAAGAGGAAGGTGCTAGACTGAGGGTGGGCAACTATTTCAGCTGGAGGGATGCTTAATGAGTTCCTGAGGGCTGTATGGACAGCCCTGGCAGGTGCCCCACCTCCTGGTCACTGTCTTGGGACCAGAAGTCCCTCCTCTTGCCCCAGAGGTACTTCTGGGAGGGGGAAATTGCCACCTTGAAACTGAAAAAAAATCATATTATTTTAATTTTTATTTTTAAAATACTTTTGCCCCGATTTTGTGTGTTTGTGTAGCATATCTAGAGGTGATTGTGTAATAGCTCAAATTGCACTCTTTCTCGTATATTGTGTCCAGGGTGTATGTGGGGGTAGTGTGGTTAGGGGGGTGGGGGTGGGTATGCTGAATGTGGTATGTGGGGGAGGACAGGGAGTGGGGTATATGGTGGGGGTGAGGAAGTGTGGGAGGGGGTTTGGAGGGGTAGGAGTAAAAGGTATATGGTGGAGGGGTGGGGGATAATGTGGGAATGGATATGAGAGGGTGTGGGTGTGTTTGGGAGTATGGTGGGGGGGTGGAAGGGTGTTGGTGTGTGTGTGGATATGCTGCGGGGTGTAGGACTGGGGGGGGGGGCCCTCTGGTAGCGTGGGGTGTTATGGTGCGGGGGGGGAAGATGGTGGCAGGTGGGGAGCCAGTCCTGTCTGTCCCGTCTCAGCTGCAGCATGCAGGTCCTGGCTACAAGGCCCGGACACGTATGATGCAACACAGAGCCAGACTGGCCTGGCTCATCCTGGCTGTGCTCCCCTTGCCTCGCGTGGCTGTCCCTGCAATGCTCCACATGAGGCTGAGCCTTACTTGCTTCTACCTGGGCAGTTTCTGAGGTTATCCTCAGTGAAGTAAGCTATTCCATTGAAATGCTACAATACAGTTCAATACTTTGTCAGATGTCAGCATTTACTTTATTGGTCTCTGCAAACGCGAAGGAATTATGTTAATTAACGCATGCTGAAGTGATACTCTCCAAATCTCTGCCCAGAGATGTGGGTTTCCGGAAAATTTTGAATTGGAAAATTTTCCAGTGCCCTAAATAAAGCAAGATCTGATTTAGCATGTTTATTTGACTTATATTTAGTAAACAAAACTAAAGTAGTACCCTCGTGTTAATTTTATGTCCCAATAGCCACAAGTATTTGAGCTGAAATATTTGATTAGGAAAAAAATGACATACAGCACACTTAATGTGGTTTAAATGTTATATTCAAACAAATTCAAAGCTTTATGTGGAAAGAAATTGTTTTTATTGGAATACTTGCTAAGATGTAAAGACAACACACAATAGCATGTACTTCCTTTACATTGTTTGTTTAAATTCAAGCAAAAAACCCAAAGGCACTGAAAACTGTTGACACACTAATTTTAGCACACCCAAAGAACTGTGCATGATAAGCTGTAGTTGTCCACTTGCCTGCTTCAACAGAGTTTAACTCTCTTCCACTGAGGTCATTGTGGCACCCCCAGTTTCACTGTCATTATCTGTAGAATCACTTGCACTACTTGTTAGTTCCATTTCAGAATCAAATTGAGGCAAATCTGATACAGATCTACTTGAACCAGATTCTCTTTCACTAAAGGATGGTTCTGCGTCACTAATTGTGCTTCTGACTGATTCTCCAGAAGCAAGAGATGTTGAGAAGTAGAAACAAGCTTAGCAGTATGTTCATTTGTTAGTCTATTCTTTTTTTGTCCTGATTGAGCTGAAAGCCTTCCAGTTCTGTTCATAAGAAGCTGCTGTTAGTGGAATGCTTAGGATCCTTAGAGCAATCCTGGGCAACAGTCAGGTGTTACAGTATCCCTTCTACCATTTGAGAGGAGAAATATTCTCTGCTGTGCACCAAAAGATGTCTTTGCTCCAAAGTTTTTTCTTTTGCACGGTGCTCGGCAATGTCCATCATCACAGCTGTTTCATCAGTGTTGGGGACATTCATAGCTACTTCCGTAATTGTATTGACAGCAGTAGATAATTCATTTTCTGATAAATGTTGTCCTCTGCGTTGAGCATCCAAAAGGTTTGCTGCCAGATGAACTGGATAAGAGCAAAACTCAGATTTTTTTAGTAGACAAGGTTCATTGGGTGACTGATATCTTTTATTAGACCAACCCAAATAGTTGGAGAATAGTTATTAAGCAAGCTTTCGGGTTCACATTTTTTAGTAAACATTTGTTTTACTACTACTTTTTTGGACAGAGATAAAGGAGGCAAAAGCTCAATTAGATTTTTATTCAGTTGTCTGAATATCTCTGGAATATTTAAAGGGCTTGGTGTATCTCCTTCAAGTTTCTTGATAGCCACTGAAAGTGGTAGTAGCAAATTGAATGCTCCTTGAAGTCGAACCCAGAACACATCATTGGCAAGAATCTGCTTCCGAATGTTCATGGGAATAATCTGGGATACTATGTCATCTATTGAAGCACACTGCAAACAGTTCTTTGTGTACAGCAAACTATGTACACTAAACACTTTGTACCTGAGCCCCATCTAGTTTCTCCTGGCAATAAAAGTGCACTTTTCTTCCCCTTCCTCTCTTTCTTTAATTTCTTTGGTCTGATTAGCAACAAATGATGATTGTTGAATACCTTCACAATTGCTTTGCAGTTTGCCAATATTGTCTTTATTGTATTCACACTTACTATGTCTTTGCCAGAAGATTCAGCCCACAAGCAAGACAGCCAAATACAGGAAAAATTCTGTTAACTGCTATCTTACAAGCCAGCATGCTCAATTAACTGGCATGCCAGCTTATAAGATAAAATGAAACTGGAATTGTCCACCATGGCACTTCCGGTTTCTCCGAGCCCCCATGGCCTGGGGCAAAGCAGCCTGCACTGCTGAGCCCCCATGGCCCAGGGACATGACATAGGCTGCACGGGGCCCCGCCTCCCTGTCCCATAGGGCCCGCAGGAGGTGCAGCGGGACACCCCAGATGCGGAAGGAGAAGCGGGGGCCCCAGGCCACTCAATTAACTGGCATATTTTGTTATCCAGCATCCCCCATTCCCAAGGGATACCAGATAACAGAGCTCTTACTGTACTATTAAATGAGGATACTTTGCCTTTAATATTTGCCATGTAGCTTTCATGTTACTTGCATTATCAGTTACATGGGTTTGTACCTTGGAGGGACCTGCACTTTCAAACTCTTCATTCAGTAATTTGGCAATGTATTCACCCATATAATGAGAAGATTTGGTAGTAATTGCTTTCAGGAATATTGGTTTAGGTGTTGCTAACATAATGTTCAAGAGAGAAAGTGATAAGCAATAACATGACAGTAACTTATATGATGGGCGTATTAGTTTGTAATGTTCCTTCCTGTATTGATTTTCAGTTATGGAAAGAGATGTACCACTTGCAAATATAGCTTGAGCTAATGTCTCATCTGCTTTTTCTTGATCTCCCAAGTTCCTGCAACAAAAGGGGGAAAAGATTTTTATTTTAGCCTATTCTAGTCTGGTTTCATGCATCAGAAGAAGTGGCAGGGAGCTTGCCTTCCCCCCTCCCTGCCAGAAAGAACACTGCTGCTCAACTTACTGCTCAGTTGCCTGGGGACTGCAGAGCCAAAGGGAAGTATAGTCTGGCCTCTGCCATCGGCCAGAGGACCACGTTCACTCTGCTGAGTTGAAATAGTTAACTATTTATCTATTATGATTTTTTTTTTAAGTTATTGTTATGCCTAAGCCACTTTGACTGCTTAGTGTGCGCAAAGAAGCTGGATACAAATATTTTAAATAAATAAATAAATAATAGCCCAGACTTGCATTAACAATTTTTTTAATTTATAATGTTTTAAAACAATATAGATGCTAGTCTACGCTATGTGTTGTTTAACATATTAATTTGTTTACTTACATAGGATTCCTGAAGTAGACTTTTCTCAGATGATGTTGTTCCTCTACTTTGTTGTATTAGCTTTCTGTATCTGGCTTGTACTCTTTCAGGAAAGTTTCTACGTGTTATAAATTTTTCTTCATTTTTGTTGCATTGTTAGCATATTCCTGCCCACAATATTTACATCTACCAACTTTCTTCCTTCCTTCAGTGGCTTGAACTTCACTATAATGATGCCACATACTAGGGTTTGTTTTCTGATTAGGCATTGTTATGACTACTTTAAACCAAAAAGACTAAAAAAACTAACAAATCTTATGCAAACGCTTCCATTTTCCCTAGTTCAAGAAAAGAAATGAGACACTGCTCCGTGTGTTTGCTGTACTGAAAGTGAAACACAAATTAATCACCATTTTAGTTTTGGTTTTGCTCTCACTTTTAGTCTGAGATGAAATAAGAATTTTAGCTTTGGTTTTGATTTGACCTGCACATCCAGTTAGGTGAATTCATAACTTGATTTTTGGTTTGGATTATGTGAGTGTATTCACCCTGCTGTTTGCAAATCAATAAAACATGTATGTATTCTCTCACATACTTTCTAGGCATAATAACCTGGAAAAACATTAATTACAACTTTGAAGTTGCCAAGCTTGCCTAATATTATATTGGCATCCATTCGTTGTTACTAACGAATTTTATGAAACAATGAATTTTTAGAAATGGAAAATTTCCCACAGAAAAATAAAGCACTGGGAAATTTTTCCGCCCCAAATCTCTGTGTCTGCCTACATAAGGCCACAAAGGTCCTCTAGGAAGGCCATCGAGATAACATGCTCTGTGACTCCGTAGGGTGGGTGAGCACTTCAGGAGTCTCATCCCTCCCAGGGATTATTACTAGAGTGCTAGGAACTATGCTACTGCTATGTCTATCCCAATGAATGTATAAAATGAACTGAACTGGTAGAGTTGTCATGAAGGCCAGATGCTTTTTCTGAAATGATTACCTGCGAAACAGTTCATTTAATGTTAGTGTTGCTGTTAATGAGCTTTGCACTTAGTGAACACTTAAAGAAATGGCTGGGGGTTGCCCTTTAGTAACATTCTCTTTTTGCATGTGTGTTGTCTTACCTGAGTTTGCAGATCACATCTGGAAGGTGTACTTCAGGAGCACAATAGCTAAATCAATTAATTTTATTATTTTAAAGGAGGAAATGTGCCATTAGATTGCTGTTCTAGCCTACTGATAGGATGTAGTTCAGCCCAGCGCTTTCACAAAACAGTTATGCTGTTATCAGTGAGGAGCAAACTTCTTGGCATGTATGCCACAAATTAACTCCATACTTGCCTCAAGTGCCACTCCAGTCCCCTACCTCTGCCTGGTCTTTTGCCCTGCTTTCTGCTTCTTGCCGTATCTGTGGGTGTGCTGCCATCCCCTCCCTGATCTACCTTATGCCACACACACAGACTGCCCATGCCACCTGTGGCATGCAGGCTCTAGGCTGGCCACCTCTGCTGTAAATATTTCTCTAAAACCAATGCACTATGCTTCATAGTTTAACCACAATGAGGCGGAGCTCAAGTACCAGCGGTGGCAGCGGTCGGCAGTCTGCAATGCCCTTGAGAGTTCAGGATTCCAACAGGATGTTACAAACACCGCAAAGGTAAGTGTTACAATTGTGCCATTCAGAATGGATTTCTATAAAGTTAGGTGTATCTAGGTAGGAGAAGAGCAAAGGCATGAATCCAGACGTGTAAGTTTGGACTCGGCTTTGAACTGGTACCCATTAACCTAGTTCAAAGGTACCTAGTCAAGGTAGTCAAACCTAATGGCTTCCTTCTATGTCACTGGTTATAGAAACTTGTGCTTTTAACCCCACTCACCACTGGGTTTAAGATGAACTTTGACCTTCTGACTTTTGCATTAGATATGTGTTCAAGTCTCTGCAGGATTTGTCCCTTAAACTATCATTTGCATCATGGGATTAACTTTTAATATGCTGATCTAGACTGTGTACAGATGTATGCAGTATAGTCAATGCATAGTTACTTTGAGATCTAAACATTTTAAGTACTCACAGTTGACCTCTCTTTTGTATCAGTGCTCATAAAATCATTTGACAAAAGTGTTTTCTACATCTGACAGTCTTCAACTAGTTAACATTGTTAATAAATTAATTCTAATAGTTTAACTTGCTGCTTATTTTCAGTATGTGTTTGTTTTCTTAAGTGAGCCAAGAGATGAAATAATTGAACTGCAAGAAATTTATACAAACACATTTTCTTTTCAAGGCAAGACCGAACAACCTTTGGGAAGTTGAGCTTGAGCAAGCCTGCATCTGGTACCTCAGAAAGAAAAGTCAGCTTTTTTGGAAAAAGGTATGGCTAACTTGAGGATTCTGCACTATCACAGAATACTCATGACTCTTCAAAGATTCCTGTGATCCGTTTTTTCCCCTGGAGATTTGTATCTACTGGAAGTGAATGGGTTTGGGGCAGCACATGAGGATCTACAGGTTGTGGTCAATGTCCTTGCCCTTTCTCGGTTCCCTGATCAATAGCCTGATGCAACTGTAGAGCAGGAGCAATTTAAGCAGTCTGTCCTTCCCTCACAAGTGTTCAGCAGTGCAGGACTTGGCAACTTCTCAGGTAGACTTATTCTGCCTTATAAGAAGTACAGTAACAAGAGGTCAGTAGGAAAACTCTTCTTAATGGACTGACTGCACACTGGCCTCAGATGGATTTTTTTTTTTTTTTTACTGGTCATTTGGAAGACCCAGGGAAATGAGCTAAAGCAGGGATGTCCAACTGGCAGCCTCTGGGCTTGTTGTCCAGGTGCTGCTTCCCTTTTCTCCTCCATTGCTGCTGCAGGGGTCACTGCCATCTCTGATTCTACCTCTCCATCACACAGAAGGTGTGTTACCCCTACAGGAAGTCTTGGGCCCCCAAGACTATTGCTGACATCCTTCTTGACCACCCAGTAGTCTTTTTCCAGAGCTCCATTCTCATGCAATAATGTGCAGACTTTGCAAAAGGATTGCTTAAAAACCAAAAATAACTCTTCACTTTAAACAGCATGTGAAATATCTGTGTGAAACAAGAGCCATGTATAATACCATTCCCTACCAAAGAATGCAGTGAGAAAGAACTAACCAAAGTCCCAGTTTTTTCAGAATTCCAGATATGCTTCGCTGAACCTTGCTTCCCTAATGAATAGCTTTTCTGAAAAATGAAATCACTTTGTCTGACATCAATAATCAGGGTCCTTCAGCTTTGACAGGTCCCCTCTCACTCAGAAAACCTGCTTCTAAGTTTTTATCTTAACTCAGCACTTACAGGCAGCAATCCCTCATGATCAAGGATGATCATTCCCACAAGTCAAGTGAAGGGCTGTAAATTAGCCTGTTGATGGCTAAGAATACCAATCCTAGAGCCGCAGCCTCTTTAGCAAATGCTACAGGTGGTGGTTAAAGGGAGCGTTGGACCACATAGTTTCATAGAAGCTAGGATCAGGAGGGACCTGAACAGATCTAGCCTGACCCCCTGCCACAGATTTCTTGGTCTTGTTTCCTTTCCTTCCGCTTATGTTTTTCTGTCTGTAGGGTGAGATGATTTTCCACAAAGTAATATGAACCTTCTCTCAAGCCATTTCCATGTAATCCTGTCCCAAGATAATTTTTCCTAATTTGTAGTGTCAATGCCACTCTTCTTAATGTTTGCCTTGAGGGTGTTTTGAAGCATTTCTCTGACCCCTGCATGTCCTTTGTCCTTGGCTGAGTTGGAAGTATAGCAGTTGTTTTGGTAAACATACATCAGGCATACACAAACAATGCCCTGGGAGTCATTTTGTAGCCCTTTCAGGACTATTGATTCCATCCCTTAAAATGACAGCTCTCTGCTGAGTAGTTGGAGATCACTGGCTTCAGCCAAGATACAGTCATCCTGAAGCTCTGTACAGGCATGATTTATTTGAATGTTTATATACTTCAATAGCTATTCTATTTGGAGACAGATACTCTGCAGCCCCCCCTTAGCAAAAGAGCATGAGGTAAGAATTAGGGCTTAAGCAGAGTTCATTAGTTCTGCATGGATGGATCCTCCAGATCTATCATAACAACTTGCCTTTTTTTTTTCCTCCTAGAACGAGTGGTCCTGGAGGATCGCGTAACAGTCAGTTTGGTGTGTTTGGTACAGAAAAGATCAAGGATCCTAGGCCACTTCATGACAAAGCGTTTGTCCAGCAGTGTATCAGACAGCTCTGTGAGGTATTTTACTATTTTCTTTAAATGTTTGCTTTTAATCCAAATGATGCTAATTTTAATCTGTTTTTCCTTGACCTCAAACATACACTCTGTTTCAATGCTCATCTACCAGATATGTTAGTGACAAAAATGTGTTTTTGTTTTGTTGTTTGTTTGTTTTTTTTACAGTATCTTGTTGAGAATGGTTACGCCCATAATGTCTCCATGAAGTCACTCCAGTCTCCATCAGTTAAGGACTTCTTAAAGATCTTCACCTTTATCTATGGGTTCCTCTGCCCTTCTTATGAGCTTCCTGATTCAAAGTTTGAAGAGGAAATCCCCAGAATTTTTAAAGAGCTTGGGTATATATAAAACATTTGTTCTTATCAATTTCTTTACTCCTGTTTCTATATGATCTGTTTTAGGAAGTGTTACATATGTGTTTGGTTTGTTTTCACTTTACTCACTAAAATTAAAATAAGTTGCATGAAATAATCAGACTTAATAATTGATTTCACATTTTAATTTCCTGGCAGTAGCGTGGTGCTGTTGATGTCTGGGTTTATAGAATGAGAGAAATGTTTATGTTGGAAACTTTCCTGGAAACTTTTTTAAGCTGTGCAAACAGCTTTATTCATAGTAGACTTAAGCATTCCACTTCAGGTGTGGAATTACAGTGTCCTAGATTTAAAAAAAAAAAAAAAAAAGACTTCTTCCAGGGTCTAGTAATTTAGTTTCTCCTAATATATTTCAGTAGCCAAGAGAAGAAAACAAAACCAGCAAGATACCCCTCCTACACCCACCAAAGAATTACCATACTTACCCAAATCCAAGACAAGGTGTCAGTCCCATTTCCTCCCCCCGCTCCAACCTTCACATCAGTATAAAGAAAATGGGGCTGGACTCGATGATCTTCCCCTTCCAGCCCTAGTGAGTTCCTTCCAGCCCTAGTGTCTATGAAATCTATTAGCCAAATTATCGGCCCCATTGGGCTGATTTCCAGTATGGCCAATTTTATTTATATCGGTCCGATGCATCGATGCACCTCTACTTGTCTCCATAATAGTTATCTTTTTTGCTTTAGAGCCTGATTTAAAAAGAAAAAAAAATACAATGACAAAAACATGGTATCCAATCCCAAGTGAAAAATTTCAGTGTGATCTGGTTGCCTGGGCTGGAAGGGTAGTTAAATCATTCATTTTAAATGTTCAAGCTGACAGTTACATTAATTGACACTTGCATTTGAAACTTTGTCCATTTACCAGCAAGTCGTCTTAAGCTCCTTACCCTTTTAATTCTTAAGTCCAGGGTCAGCTACTTAAGGGTCTGTGGAATAGATCTGGCCCATAATCTGTCCTGGGAAGGTATGACCTAGCCTGGGGCAGCATGGAAAATTTGGGCATCATACAGCTGTACCACACCAGTCCTCCCTTCTGTAGAACTGTCCTTCACAGGCCTCTCTGCTGGTCTCTCATGCCGTTATTTATGCTTATTGCAGGGGGCAGCGAAGATAAGCCTGGGACAGAAAATGGGAGAATTTTTCAGAGTAGCATCTGCTCTGTGAGGTGACAGCAGCCTAGAAGAATAAGAACTAAGAGATTTCTTCATGATCAGAAAGCAGAAAATGTGTCCAGTAAACTAGGATGGGATAGGGAACCAGTTAATATTTAGCATGGCATTACCCTTTCTGGTCCCAACAGAATCTTTGTATATGCAACAAATAGCTACCTCCTCGCACCAAAAGAATATTGCAGCCCTGTCATTGTGGGTTAATGTTCTGTTTCAGATATATAGGAGAATCTAGGTTGCTTTCTTCTTATAGGCAAGGTGAACCTGGAGATATGTGAAAGAGCTCTATCTTGTCTGTTATGGGAAAGTCATCCTGATCAAGCTTTTTCTTTCTTTGTAGGTATCCTTTTGTATTATCAAAAAGTTCTATGTACACAGTGGGAGCACCACACACATGGCCACAGATTGTTGCAGCTTTGGTTTGGTTAATTGATTGTATTAAGGTACTATCTGATTTATCTGAGCCTCCACTGGCTTTTGAATAGAATATTAGTTTCATAAGAGGCCTCTTAATGACTTTGTTTTGCCAATATGCTACTTGGGATATTTAAAGAAAATGCAAGATATTTGTTGTGTTACTGTAAACTAGCTCTCAGCCTTATGACTTGTAATGCTATATAAAATGACTTGTTAATTTATGATTTTGATGAATGCCTGCACTCAAAAGATGTTGCTGTGCCAAATATTTGAATGCTTAAAAATATGATTAAATTAATCTGTATGTTAGGACTCAAAATCAACTTGCTACAAAGAAGTTTTCCTTGTGAACCTATCACTGCTTCTCCTAAATTTAAACTCTATGGGCAGGATTTTCATTAAAAACTTAGGTATGCATGCCAGACAACTGGTTGCATGCTCTTACACAAGAGAAGCATTCCTGAAAATCCCACCTTTAAACTTCCAGTGTTCGTAGTTGCAAGAGTGCATTTGGTTCACATGTGGGAGATAACTAGTGTAGTTTTGTTTTTACTGGGTGCACCTACACTTATATCAAGCTGGAGTTTATTGCTCCTGGGCACCACGTTTGTGTGTGCCTGGCACAGCACATTGAGCCCAATTTGTAGCAGCCCTAGCTGGCAGGGAACTTGGGTGGGGGGGTCAGCCTGCCAGCCAGCCAGCCTGGGGCTGCTCCGACCCGGTTCAACGTGCTGTGGAGGGACTGGCTGTAGAACAAGTCCTGTTACGTTTGTTGTTTGAGGGATGCAGAGTTAGTGCCACTGGACCAGAATCTCCCTTGGTAGATACATTTCTGAATTGGAGCAACATAAATGACTAATCCTGTTAGTTTAATGTCTGAGATGTTTACTGCAAAGTAGACTAATTAGCTCCTCACTAAACGTCTCACATCTACATGTGCAGGCCTGTGAGGCTCCACAGCACTGAACATGAAGACGCCAATGTGACTGGCTGGGGCATGAGGGTGCTTCAGTGTGGGGGCTGCCTGCCAGCATCTCTCAAATGACAAACTTAACAAAATTCTGACACAGGAGTTACTGGATGTCTTCAGAAGTTTTGCTCTCCTACATAACTTTTGTATGGGCTGTTTAAAGTAGTCATTTATCTCCTCTAGATATACTGTGCCATGAGGGAAAATGCACCATCATTTGATGAAGCACAAGGCTGGGGAGGAGAGACAGAAAATGGAATTGTACATAACAAGGTACCATAACTCATTTGCTGATAATGCTTCATCTGTGTTCTTCAGGATACTGTCATGGAACAGTGTAACCTGTAAACATAAAAATCACACTAAACTAGTTTATAGCCTCTTTTTGGTTTTGTTTTTTTTTTTTTCCAGTCTTATATTCTCAATGCTTTCTTCAGAAAGCAATTTAGCATAATGTAAATTATCTTTGATAGAGCAAGATTGGACTACTCCTTATTTTCCAAATGATAGAAAATTGTACTGAATAATGTTTGCTATATAAGCTTAATTGCCCTCTCAGAGGTGCAGTACTCAAGAGTCTTCATTATTGTGCAGTGGGATGGGGGGAGGGAAACAAATTGCCCGTTTCCCTTCTCTTCTAGGCATGGATAAATTAGTGATAAACTAATTCCCTGAATGAGAGTCAAGGCCATCTTAATGGTTCCACCTGTGAATAGAGACTGGCTATCAAATCTGGATAGAGAAGTTTTTATTTTAGTCCATCAAGCTACCATATTTACCTGAATGCAAGACTACTTCCAGGCTAGCATATTTACTACTTCCCCCAATAATGAGTTTCTATACAGGCAGTCCTCAGACTTGCAACACAATTGGTTCCTAAAAACTGCATCTTAAGTTGAAACGTAACTCGGAACCAATTTTCTCATAAGAAACAATGTTATAAATGTGGGATTGGTTCCTGAACCAAGGCCCGATTACCCTATTTTTTTTCACTAAAAATACCTCTGCTGCGGCTGTGCAGTCCCCATCCGGGTCTAGCAGGTGTGTAGCCTTGGGGTCACATGCTGTCACAGGTGGCAGCAGCCCCCACTGTCAGACTGCTGCAGCGGGTAGAGGGTGCAAGGAACTCTCGGTTAGGGCTGCTGCAGCAGTCCAGCTGGCGCAAGAGGTAGTGTCCCCAGATACCAATTGGCTGGGCCCCAGAAGCTCCTGACAGCAAGTAGCCCTGAGCTACTTGCCAGGGCAGCTTTTTATACTGCTGGGGCCAGCACAGGTGCTGACCCTAGGCTATAGCTCCCGCCCTGGCTGCAGAACCAGGAGGAGCTGGGCACGGTTATTTTCCCCCAACTGGCACAACTTGCCCCACACCAAAGTGCTTGTCTGTGCACGTGCGCTGAGGCAGTAATCCCTAGTTCAAATTTGTGCCACTCCTATTTGAGCTGCTGCAAGTGCACGTGCCTGCATGTGTGGACACATCCTCTGTTCACTTTTCCTCCAAATGTTTCTTGCATGTATCTGCTAACTGCTACTCCAATTTTGTCTCCTCCTTCCACTATAACTGCTCTTTACCCATTTTGGTCTAACTTATCCTTCTCCCCATCATGTTCTATGGAATCCTTATCCATCATGCCTCGATCATATTGTCACAACAGCCAACTTTATGCTTCCTGACTTCTTTCTTTGTTTGCCTCCAGTCCATGAAGAAGGTGGCTTTCAATTTTAAATCCTATCAGTTCTGACTTTTATGAAAGTCGAACATTAAAACCTCATCTTCAAATTTCTGAGTAGTTCTTCTACTTACTACTGTTTGTTTTTTGCCTGCTGTCCATTTCAGTCTGTTGCCTCTCACCAATTTCTTGGTTTTTCACATTTTCATCTTTGTACCTTCTTTCATACTATTCCCTGCATTAAGAACAGCTTCCTTGCACCATTCTACTACCCTGTCTCATTCAAACTAATTGAGAAACAGCCAAAGAGAATTAACAGAAAATGGTAATGTTCTGAGATCTAGTTTTCCCTTGGTTGGTTGGCTGAAGTGTGAAGTGTCTTTTTTTAGTTTTAAAATATTAGGGTCATGGTTTGGGCCCTGTCACTGTGCGTTGTAAGATAGATAGCATTTAATAATCAAGCTGGTAACAGGTTTTCTTCTTATTTAAAATGTTCCATTTGGTGAGTGGAACTGTATGTCCAGGTTTTTCCATCTCTTGGCTCTTCCTGAAAGTTTACATTTTTTTTCCAGCTTTTCTTGGACTATACTGTAAAGTGCTATGAGCACTTTATGAAGGGTGGAGACACTTATGAGGAATTTGATGCAGAAGTGCAGTCGAAGCTAAGTAAGGTTTTCTGTTTTGGTTTTGTTTGTTTAATTTAGGTTGCCAGAAATTCTTTTAGTTAAAATAAAGCTGTTCTGTGTAAAGTGACTAGTTTTTTCCATGTTTGGCTCTCTCATTTCAACATCAGACTTGTTCCATTTACGGATAAAAGGTTGTTAGTTCCTTCTCCCCAACACCACTGCAAATAGCCATCATGCTTTCTGATGGTTCTCAGGAAACTGGCAGGTTGTAGTGCTGACTTTACTGTTTCTATCATCTCCAGAAATCTAATACAGAGCTTATAGAAACAAGGACAGCACTTTGTTCCTTGTGCCAGTGGCTTCTGTTTGTGTAGGAGACCTCAAATGAGGACCACCAGTCAGATTTGAAGTTGACTGCTGCTGGCAAGAAAACAAATTGTGGCAACAGTGTGAAATCTTCAGAAAAGGCAAGCGGGTAGATGTTCATCATAGGCAGGGAGCAAGGGAAGAGATGGCTGTAACTGCAGAGAAGCATGTGGGACAAAAGCAGAATTAGAAGAACAGAAGGAGAAAATAAAACTACAGCTGTTCAGGTTTTCTTGTTTGTTTGTCTCTTTAATACAAGCACATACTGATAACACAGAGATCATGCAACTGTCCACCATCAGAAGCTGGGAGAAGATATCCGTCATGACATGATCATTCTAATAGCATAGTATATATGACCAAAAAATTTGAAACACTTGTTTCCTGGAACCCGTCACTCAGATCTCAGCTTCTGTTTGAATTTTGTTTGCCTGAACAATTTTTAAATAACCTTTTTGTCCATCTCCTGTATTGTGTGATGAGCATTCTTATAGTTTTAGCTTCCATTTTAAGTCTTGTCAAGGAGACGGGTATCATTTGGTATGGATGCTGATGTTCTAGGCTATTTAAAGACAATCTTTTGTTTCATTTCGTTTTTGTTTTTCAGAGGATTTGTTTAATGCAGATGAATTCCAGGTGGAGGCTCTGGAAGCAGAAAACAAAAGGTTAAATGAAGAGATTGCAAGACTGGAGAAAGAGAGAGAAAGTGAGCCAGTGAGTAAACATAGCTGTATGAGCAATGTTAAGTTGTGTTTTAAGCTTGACTCTGAATTTTGTTTTCAGCACTCTGCTGCTTTTAATTAAAAAAAAAAAAAAAAAGACATTGATACACTAATAAGAATAGGAAACCAATAGAATCTAAACACTTCTTCCTGTTCCAGAATTCATAATCTAACTTGGTCTATGTATCGTTTGTTCTAAAACCAATGTAATATGAAACATTTACTGGGGAATTTTCAGTCACAGTTTAGTATTGTGCAGGTATTTTCACATAAGTTCAAAGATTTCGTATCATTCAAAATTTTAGCTAACAAAATTTTAAGCACTGTTTCTCCAGACTTCAGTGTAGGCACTAAGGAACTTCAAAAGAATTCCTTACAGTTAGTTTAGGGTAGATTATCTAGGATTCTTTTGTAGGGAAGAATGTATAGGTCCAGATGTTTTACCATTTCTGGGAAAGTTTTATGTTTGAAAAGTTAGTTTTGTTGCTGGTAAACTTAAATTAGTGTAGTGTCTGTTTAGGCAGGCATCTAAGAGTACCGCTTGCTGTTCCAAATGTGCTCATTTTAAATGTTTCCTTGGTTTTCTACCTTCTCCCTTGTTTGTTTGTTTGTTTGTTTGTTTGTTTGTTTGTTTTTTAGCCTTACCAAACCATCAAATTTGAATTATCTGAAGCAGAACTCTCTTACTACTTATCTATACGATGCATCTAATAATGTTACATTAGCCACTAGTGTTGATTTGGACTCCTAGGTGTTACTGTAATATAAGTAGATGTTGGAGGCTCTCAGAATGAAATGTTTAGGCTTAAAAACAGCTTTAGATAGATTTTACTTTAAATCAATTGCTACAGATATCTAAAATGAGGGTGTTCAAATGGAAATCTCATGTAGCTCAATGTTGTCTGTAATCGCACTGTTCTTATAAAGTTGAACTATTTCTATAGTAGTAGTTATTTGTATAGATTAATTGAGAAGGTAGTTGTTTCATTTGCCAATCCCCCTTCCCCACAGGATCGTTTAGTTTCACTACGAAAAGTGAAATCTTCTTTGCAAGCAGATGTTCAGAAATACCAGGCTTACTTAGCTAATCTCGAGTCTCATGCAGCCGTCCTTGACCAGAAACTGAAAGGCATTAATGAGGAATTTGAAGCAGCAGGTAAGAAAACATAAGTCACAAATGCTTGACCAAGCTAATAAACAGCTGTCTTACTGCTGTAAGAGACGTGTATACTGTCCACATCTCAAAGGGAGACTTTCCCAAACAAATGTGAAATAAAGATATTATATGACTTGTAGCCACTCTGTACATGGATGATTAGTTCTTGGGCTAAAATGTGCCTGCCTTTTTTTTAATGCATAGACAAGGATTTTTCTTCTGTGGTCACAGTAGTTTTAACAAATGGTTTTGTACTCTCAGAAATAAAAGTTGAAGCAATGAAGCAAGAAAATGCTCGCCTCCAGCACATATTTGAGAACCAAAAGTACTCGGTTGCAGACATTAAGAGAATAAATCATGAAAGAAATGAGTTGCAGCAAACTATCAACAAACTGACTAAGGAGCTGGAAGCAGAACAACACTTGTTGTGGAATGAGGAGCTAAAATATGCTAGAGGCAAAGAGGCGGTATGTGAAACTGCTACTGTTTGAAAGGCAGTTGTCATTCTTAAAACTGAAATTAAAAACTCTTTCCTAATGAATTCAACAGTATCAGGAATATCTTAGATGAAAAATGATAAAATAGTACCTGTTTAGTATTCTTTTGAACCCTCTTCCTCTGCCTCACTACCTATTTTGTGTGTAGGGGAAGTTGTCTTTTCATATAGTTATTCATCAAGAGTGAAAGGAGGAATATTGTACAGCTCTCAATCACTGATGTTAAAGCAGCAAATAAGTTAATAAGGTTAGCAGAGGCAAGGGTTTCTGAGGTTAATATCTTTTATTGAACCAACAATATACCATGTTTACTAAAAAATATAAGATAACAATATTGATGACTCTTTCT